TCGAGTTCTAGATTGACCTCTGCATGAGTGATGTGAATATTGTGACACAATGGAATTAGATTCGGTGTTTGCTTAGATGCCATAATCCCTGCTAACTGTGCTACTGTCAAAACATCACCTTTATGGATCTTATTTTCTTTCACAAGGTTAAATGCTGTTTGACCCAAATACACTTTAGCTGTTGCCACTGAAAGTCTACTGCTTTCTGTCTTGCTACCCACATCAACCATCTGTGCATGACCTTGCTTGTCAACATGACTGAGTTTTGGGGCAACTCCTGTGATTTTTGAAGTAGAGCCATTTTTCTGGGATGTTGAAGCCTCATTTTGCAGGTCAATCCCTGAGCTTTGACTGCAAAAGCTACGTACAAACTGCCTTGAACAAGTTATGAAATTCTTATAAAAAGAAGAAGGTAATCCAGGTGGAAATGTTTTAATGCATTGAACTAGTTCTGATGTGGTATGGTGCTGACTTTGTGCAGGGTTGAACAAAACACTAGATGGTGTTCTTAAATTAAACTGTTGAGAATCCCTTTGAAAACAACAAAGTACTCTTTTGGAGGTCCACCAATGCAAGGTTTTGCAGATTCCTAGAACAGATGATGAAACAGCATTTATGTAAAAAAGAATATGCATGCACATTTTTGTAATCATAGAATAATTGATCCTGGAAAGATAAGGCTTCAAAAAAATTGAAATTTTTTCTAAAGGACTGGTAACACATCAAGCTGAATCCATCTTAAACCCTGATCTCTGTAGCAACAAGAATAGAGAAAAGTATTATTGTACGAGGACAAGCTTGGAGACATGAAACAAGGTAAAAATTGCAAGCTCCAGAGTTCAAATAATTTTTCAGTTTTTAGCGTGAATTTGTAGGCTTTTGTCAAGGCTCATTTTTTTCCCTGACTGTCAATAACAATAAAAGCTAATTTTTTCATTTGTCTCATAATGTAGTCACATGTGATGTAGATGGTGACGTTTCAACTGCATACTGCTGGTCTTCTTCAGGCAATGAGGTCGACTGGTCATGTGTGATCTTATAAGCATGATGCTCTGCTGTGATTAGTTGTTTTTCAACAGCTCTGATTGGTGCATTTCGATCCTTGCTGTTTCACTCAGTGATTAGCTCCCTTGGCAGTCTGCTGTTGCACAGCTCTCCTGTTGTTGCATTTTTGATCGTGGACATCCATGCTTCTGGAATTTCTATTCCACTATCCTTGTTGATGTTGTTAGGGTGAATTCTTACATGAATTGCCTCTTTGACCCTGCGCATGTAGTAATAATGTCATCTACATGTGACTACATCGTGAGACAAATGAAAAACTTAGCTTTTATTGTTATTCACCACAATGAATAACCACAACCTTTTCTACAAGATGTCAATAATAAATTTCAGCGTCAGAATCTTTATTTTGATCAACATGTTTTGCTGCAGCAATTCCCTTTCTAACACAGCCTAGTGAACGGTTCAATTTTTTGGTGTTTGTTCAAGTGTGAAATATACAACTTTGTCTAGACAAACTGTCGCACTTCTCCATTCACAGCTATAGGAAATCCGTACTGTCAAGCTCCAACTTAACTTTGAATGCGTGAGAAGGCTTTACAAACGATATTAAACAGGATTTGGCGAAAAATCAATCTTGATTTAAGGTAATATGTAAGTGCAGAAACATAACCAAGGTAATGTGACGGTGTGACACAAACTTGCATGGTTCACGCTTGAACAAATACGTAGAAAGCTGAATTCTGTAAAGAAAAATCCTCCTTATAGCATGCTTCAAATTTCGAAACTTTACACTCGTTTACGTTTCCAAAAGCTTTTTAAACATTTCTTAGCTGCTTTATTGTCTGATATGAAATGTTCACCATAACATGACAGCGACTTTTATTTCAGCTGGACGATCAATAACCATCATATTTTCCATAAAATTCTACTTCTTCGGTGAAAAATCGCTGGCAAGGGTGCTAAAAGTTCCGGCTGCCGCCCGCAGCCGGCTGTTATTTTGAACCCTGAGCTCAGAGCAAAAAATACCAAAACGATTGATTTCTCATTAACACCCTTGTGTGCTCCCATAAACAGACGACAAAACGTCAATGTCTGATTCACGCAATAATTCTTCATTTGAAATTGTAGTCATCTTTCCACCGCAGACCCAAAATTGATATAAATTAAGTACCAACAGATATAAAATTAGAAAGAAAAATGCAGAATACCTTTATGATGTACAAGATTGGTTGCCATTTTGTAAACAAGATGATTGGTTTTCGAAGTTTTCTGGAACTTCGAAGAGTTTGCAACACCACTTACGCGAATTAGATCGACAAATGTATGTGTTTGTCCGCCATATTGAAAAATTATACTCAATACGCACGCTCTCTAAAGGATACCGCTACCTGTCTTCGGGGAATTTGCAAATCAGTTGCGGCTCATTTACTCGTTCTGCTGCTCCGAATTCTTCTTGATTATCTCACCCGCTTCTCTTGTATTTCCAAGCATTGCATCTCAATTGATAAGAGGCATAAACTTCCACATTCTCGCGATCGATGTGTGAAAGATAAAAACAGAAAGAAATAATTAGGCAAAACGATCGAGCGTGTACAACTCTTCCAAGAATAACTTTAGGCTTATAACTGCTCTAAACAGACTCTTATGATACATATGACAACAAACCATGTCTCTGTTGATCTCACACTCGTTTAATGAATTTTTTGATCGCTTTTCCAAATTCCATCCCGCAAAAGTAAGAGAACGTATGGGGCTCATACGAGCGACCGCCGTACAGTTTTTGCTGTTGTTGTTGTTGTTGTTGGCTCGCAGATTGGCCAATCATATCCACTCGTTTGGTTGATTCAAATCCAGTGGATGTCATTAGTCGAAGAATCCTAATGTACAGGATGTGATTGGCTGACACCCTGCATGTTCCTTCGGCCATGGAAGCGTACATTCTTCTCTGTTGAGACCTCTATTGAGGTCCCTGTGGCACAAGCCACGCGCAAAGCGTGTAATGGAAGCTGTTGAAAAGTGTATTAAGCAAATAAGGGAGAAAGGATTATAAAATCCAACAAATTTTCCCTCTACTTTACTATTCAGCAATTTAGCCTTTAAATTAAACTCTTTACGGTGGTCAATTTACGTTTTCATGACTAAATTACCTATCTGACAATTAAGCTGGGAAGCCCTGAATCACTGGAGATTTATTAAATCTTCGAACTCCCATCACAACAACTTGTCGAGTTTTTCCAACTCTACTTTTGAGGTATGAATACAAGAGGAAGTTTTCCTTTCATCCGTCAGAAAAAAATTGATTACTTGGCATCGTGCTGATCTGCATGTGACATGAACACCCTTTCAGTGACTGCTTTTAATTTCGGACATTTGATACAGAACTTTACACTGAAACAGTTAAACTCTTTGAGATTTCTGTTTAGTTTTATAGAAAAGTTGCGTACTCCGGAAAAAAATTGGCCTCAAATGTCTGTAATGAACTTAGTAGTATCGAACGCATAGCGCGGCGCTCTTGCAAATACTCGTTCGCGCTTGGATGCGTTTCGCGCGCTAACAGCCTCGTGCATGCGTAGATCACAAACGAGGTATTCGACAGCTTTTCTCAGCGTAACTACTGTCGCTTTGCAACATTTCCTGAAAGTGAGTCTCAAAATTCTTTCACAGAGACAACAGATCACTTTTTAACTTTGACCAGTGACATTCTGAAACAACCAAACGAGCGGATGTGATTGGTCAATATTTACCACTGAGATCCCAACAGAGAAGAATAGGTGCCTTTCATGATCGAGGACGTGATTAAGTTCTTGTCACGCAACTTTTAGTCTGTTTACATGTGGAACCAAAGGCGCTTGCGAACCTTGATCGTTGTGAAAAGTTGTCACAAAATAGTGGTTAAATATTAATTTGTTTACATCTAATTTTAATCAAAACATCTGGTAATTTTTCACTCAGCGAAAACGTTCAAATACAATTTCGATGCAACTGCGATAGCGTGACATTTTAACTTCGATGAAATTGATTTTAATATGTTTAATGTGTGATTTTTGACTGTAACTTGAGTCTGAAATAACGTTTTGAACACGCTGTTACTATAATCTATTAGAATATTAACTCTCCAGTTCTAGACGTTCCTCTAGCTGTCCATTTTCATTCGTTTTTTAGGTTACCTTTGGAATCTTGTCACGAAGTAAGTTAATTTCTATCCTCATTTTCACTGATTGTTCTGCACGCTTTGTTATTTAGACTGTTTATGTCAGGGTGTTAGTGAAATTACTCAATAGCTGCTTGTACGATCGAAATCGAACGCGTGGTTTACTCGGTGATGTTTCTAAGTCTTTCGTTCCTCCTTTCAAATAATAATTTATATCTTTTTAATATGTCCATCCGTTGTTCCATAAATTTCAGGTTGATACGATTCACGAGAGTCCGAAGTCCATATTCCTCTACAGATTCTTAATTTCAGTAGAACAACAATTTAAGTCGTAGATGAATGCAATCAGAGCTACGAGGATATTCTTTCCTATCAAGCTTCCCACAGGATTTTTTATGATTGAAAGGTACTATCGATGGCTTCAGCGATCGAGCCTTCGATCAATCAAACAGAACGTCCTGGATCAGTGAAGAGAGATTTGCCCTAAGGGCTTTCATCATAACGACTTTTGCAGTTCCTCGAACACTCCTTAAGGCATGGATTTGAAACACCTTCCGTTCATCAGTCTTCATAAAATTGATTACTTGACGTCGATGGCGATCGATGAATTTACATGGAACATGTAATCGAATTTTACAAAATGTGGGGGCTTTTACATCTGTTACAGCGAGCAGTTAACCCTTGATGTATCACTTAACTCTTAAGTTGTTATACAAAGGAATTTCGAGCAATGTTTTCGACGCGAAATGCCGAAAAGGTTAAAAGCTAAGACAGGAGCCGCGCGTAGAAAAGCACTCGAATGCCTCGTATGTGATCCACGCGTGCATTAGGTCGTTAGCGCGCGCCACGCATTCGAGCGCGAACGTGGACTCTTGCGAGTCTCGCTCTATGCGCGTTTTCACTCTTTTTATACATTTTCGGCCTAAATTTGCAATTTTTTTACAGAAGAAGCAACGGTTTGCATACAAAATACTAATTTACGGGTTATTATAGCCATTGAATCGTCTGTTAAGCGAAGTAATGCCTTGAAAATAATATTTTGTAATTTGGAGCAAAAAGTGGCAGTGAAGTTCATATAGTTTATTTAATATATCTCTGCCGCAAAGGAAAAAAAATTTGGAACGCTTCACGAATTTGCGTGTCATCCTTGCGCAGGGGCCATGCTAATCTTCTCTGTATCGTTCCAATTTTAGTATATGTGCTGCCGTTAAGCGAGCACGTTAATGCATGAGTCATATTTTCCTGTATATACGAATCTATTGTTTGTTGCTCAACTAAGTGGGACAAGATCAAAGTTGACCTCTAGGGACTTTAAGGGTTACCGACCAACCCACTGCGCATGCGTTTAATTAAGGCGAATACTTCCGTAGACATGCATAAACTTTTGTCCATGTTACTGAGCGACTTCTCAAGTTTTTCTGAATTATTTTGTAAGAACGTGACGATTTTGGGTTGGTTAAAAAGTTTGAGATTTCTGCATCCTAA